TTTAGCTCCCAAATTATATTTGAGGCTCTGATAATAATTACTCGATTTATCTCCCCGTGTTTAAGATATAATGTCCGTCAATTAATTAATTACTGATAATATGATAAATTGACTTCTTCTGCCAGACTAGTACCACTCAATGCTTTATTATTATGTTCAAAATTTGATCCACCTGTAGGGTATAACATAATAATCATTCTTGAACTCATCTCGAGGACATCATTAGACTATTGCAAACGGTGACCGTAAATAATCGAACAACATACCATACACACAGCACCACTACCGAAAACACGTTAGATTATTTACCCAACAGTATCTAACTTTTGGTGAATGAAAATAGTAGTTACTGTATGCACGTGTCTGTTTATATTTTATGGGTTAAGAGTGTGCGATAATTAATCTGATTCTAGTTTGTTTACCGATCAGTTCAAAACAAACTTGTGTAACCAAATAAAAAACTTCTTGTGAATTAGTAAATTAATTAGGAAGCACTCCTTTGGACATAATAACAAGTAGCGGGTCAATCTTCATCAATTCTCTCTAGGATTCATTAAATACACAAAGTGTACTAGTGTAACCAATCAGTCAATACAGACTGTACAGTTGATACTACAACCATTCATGATGGATTGTTCATTTTCATCTAGGTTGTGAATTATATTATTTATGTTTTTCAAGTAACCAATACGAGATCTTTTGTTCATCAGTGATGAACCATAATATCCAAATATAAAAAATTAGTACACAAGACAGTTTAATTAAACATAAATCTTATTCAAAAGAGCGATAATTTTTGTTATGCAAAAAACTAAACTTTAAGTATACACACTAATAAACCTTAACGAGTTTGTTATGAACACTAGTAGGGTGCTCGTGCGATGCACGGGAACATTCATTACCTATTTACTGTTTAAAAGGTATTTTTGTATTTAAATTGTCTCATGGCATTAAAAATATCATGAAAAATAATTTTATATGTTACTAATAACTTCCTTATATACAAAATTATTGATTTGATTCTTTGCCACGTAAAGTACTACATAGGTGTTTGAATTTTATCTAAAATTGCATATTATTAGTTATTAGTTAACAATTTTTTTTTAAAAAAAAAAAAATTAAAGGACCTTATTTATTAAACAAAATTATAGTACAAAAAAAGTAAAAAGTTATAGGAATTTTCACCCACTATTTATTTTAAAGCTAATTCTAAATTTCAATTAAGAAAAATTGAAAGAATCATTAGTTACTCCTGAAAATAAAACCGATTTTTCTACCAATAAACCGATTTTTTTATCAAACAAATTGATCCGAATATTTTTTTAAAACCAAATAAAAAAATCATCAATTTTTTCTAAAAATGCAACCGAATTTTCCTAACATTGCACCGATTTTTTTACCAAGCAAATTGAATTGAAAATAATCCTAATATTGAAATACTTTGTTAAATGTTTGTGCAATTGTCTCTTTCCTAAGAAAAATGATATGAACTTAACAAAAAAAAAATGATATGAATTTACCAAAACATCGGTAAAACAAGGTTAAGAAAAAATATAAGAATCCAAAAAAATCGGTGCATTAAAATTTTGAAAAGTTGCACACAATTTTTCTTAAATAATTGGATAAGATGACTTTAAATATCAAAGATGAACCGTTTTTGTTACCAAAAAATATGGACACAACTTTGAATGTACATCCCGTCCAAATATCAGTTTTAATTTAAAATAAACATTGCATGTGGATTTTCAATTTACATATTTTTTTTGAAAGAAAAAAATAATTAATAAGATTGGAAGAATTAGTTAAAAATTATGCAACTATTTGTTTGCTAAATTTGTATCCAATTTGCACGATTTTTAAATTAATTTGTATTTAGAGTTATTTTCATAAATAATTGACACATTTTTTTGCATAAGAATCTCCAATTTTATTACCAAAAAAGATATGATTTAAATTTTAGTAAAAAAATAAAATATGATACCAAAAAAATAAGATTCTAATTTTTCCATAAAAATCTCAAAATTTGTTACCGATTATTTCGGTATTAATCATACAGGTAACTGAAAATTTCAAAGTAAAAGGTACTGATGGCAGTATTAAGTTTATAATTTATACACAAACAGTATCTGGGGTGGGGAAGGTTGCCAAGGAAACTCAACCACCATAATGTAAGCCTAAATAACACAGTAAAATTTACATCTCCAAAAGTGTTTTTTTTTTTTTTTTTTTTTTTTTTTTTTTTTTTTTTTAAGAAAGAGAGAAAGAAAGAAGAAAAGAAAAAGTTGTTGCATTCCACCCTCACCGCCTGGCACTGGCAGATGACCTCCGATGAGCCGGCGTAGGCGACGCCAGAGGCGTTCTTCCACTCGGAGCTCTTGAGCTCGAGTTTCTGGGGGCATGTTGGAGGTCCTCGAGCGTGGCCAGGACCTCGGCCATGCGAGGCCTCATCTTCGGCTCATGGCTGAGGCATTGTAGGGCCACCGTGGCAGCCGTGAAGGCGGCATTCTTAGGGTATTGGCCCTCGAGCTTTATGTCCATTATCCTAAATAGCTTCCGTTTGTCCCCCATGTACGGCAAGGCCCAGTCCACCAGGTTCTGCTCAATCCCGACCTTGCTCTTATCCACCGCGCGCCTCCCGGACAGCAGCTCCAGCAGGACCACCCCGAAGCTGTAAACGTCGCTTTTTGCAGTTAGTCGACCTGAGGCCATACAGTACAGACAGAGTCAGTCTCGGGTTCGCCCAGCCGCACCGGGGCAAATGTGAACAAATATGAAACAAAAGAGGATATGACAAAAGCTTTATCAGACCATTATATACAACGTTTTTTGTCAATTTTAAGGCCTTAATTTAGGTTTTTCGCTCATTTTTTCAATGGTTTATCAAAATTCTAGGGGGCTTTGGATTTTATTTTGGAGTTTTGGGTTTCTAGGATTCGTCATCATCTTTTTATGTGCGACTGGATATGGAAATTTTCTTGAAAAATGAAAATAATTTATTGTTTCATCTTTTTCTCATTGAGGTTTCGCTTTTTATCCTTTTAGTTAGCTTGGTTTTTTTTAGTGTTTGAGTGTCTGTTTTTTGGTGACTATAAGAAGTATCTTTTGAGTTCATTTAAAAGGAACTGGTTCACAGAGAATATCTTTTGGTGACTATAAGAAGTATCTAGAAAGAAATTGTTTGTAATTCACAGAGAGAATATGTCTGAAGTGTCTGACCTGTGGCAACATATTCAGGGGCAGCATACCCATAAGTGCCCATAACTTGAGTTGATACATGTGTCCTGTCGCCAGTTGGACCCGCTTTCGCCAAACCAAAGTCGGACAATTTTGCATTGAATTCCTGTAGACCGAGATGAAACTTGTTACTTGTTAGTGTCAAATGGGAACAGCTATGTTTGAATTTCATAATTTAACAAGAAAATTTGTTTTGGTTTAGAAGTTACTCAAAAGTGAGCAGTCAATATATGAGTATACCCCATCAAGAAGAATATTCGAAGCTTTAAAATCTCGGTATATAACTTGCTCTTCAGCCTCATGCAAGAAAGAAAGGCCCCGAGCAGCATCTATGGCCACCTTCATTCGAGTAGCCCAAGTCAGAGGTTGGGGTCCTCCTGGAAGAAAGTGCAACATGAAATGTCTCTGCTTTTTATTCTTTCAGAAATAAATTCTTAATAGGTTCTGAAATTTATAACTTTTTTTAGATATTTCTAAGGATAACAGAACGCAGCTATCATGTCGTGAAATGTGCAGGCAGCATGGAAGAGTAAAATGATTAATCATATTAGGCCAAGAAATGCATTCTCGAAAGATAATGAATGAAAATGGGTAAAAATAAAACTCTTGTTTTTTAATAGTGGAAGCATAAAGCTCATTCCGAGTCCACGACTGAATACTATTGAATGAAAAACATCAGATAAGTTGAATAAAAGCTTGCAGCATTATTAAATGTCGAATAGAAGCATAGTTAGTAAAAAAAAGAAAAAAAATTCTAAGTCTACTTGTGTGTGTGCAGAAGGATTCAGAGTGAAAAGGTACAACAAGACCTTAAAAGTGTAACTCCCAAAACACAAGATAAAGAAGTAAAAATATCCGATCAATTGTTTTTTCAATGATCATAAACCTTGTCAAGGAACCAGTACAGACTAACAATGATACTTTTAGGCAGTTGTCCATGTAAGGGAATGCCTTACATTACAAACAGAACCTAAAGGATTTTGTTGAGAAGAAGCCATATTAATGTTCAAAACTAATATCATGAGAAGCCAGACGAAAAATTAACAAGTCAATTGAGAGGCTATCATATACAAAGAAATATAAGAAAACCACCAATTCAACAAGCAAATAATCTATTAGAAACCACGTACTTCTGAACAAATGATTCTCCAGGCTTCCTTTGGGCAAGAACTCGTACACCAGAAGCCGGTTGTCACCCTCCGAACAATAGCCAATAAGTTTTACAAGGTTCGGGTGATGAAGTTGCCCCAAATAATTAACCTCTGTCTGCAAATCATTCCATGCTCTCAAAAAGCTAACAATATTACTTTCATTAAGCTAAGTGAAAATTACATAACTAAAAAACTATGCCATCATGATCAGCCTAATAACAATAATCTTTCAGAATCACATATAACCTCCTTGCAACAGTACCAAACTCCCTCTTAATATTTCAGACACCAGGGAGAACTAGTAACCTTATAAAATGAGACGCTAAACCTCATAGATTTTGCTTTGGGTAACTAACCGTAAAAAAAATAATAAGAAGAAAAAGAAGACGAAGAAGAAAAACATACCAACCACTCTTTGTGGCCTTGAAAACCCTCGGGCTTCAACTTTTTGACAGCAATTACCAGACCAGATCCAGGCCTTGAGGCTGTGAGTGTATGCTCATCAATCCACCCTTTGAAAACATACCCAAATCCTCCTTCACCAAGAAGACTGTCGGGCCTAAAATTTTTGGTCGCACTTCGTAACTCGTTGAAAGTGAAGGCCTTGACATGTGGTGAGGACAGAATCTCGGCTTCCGATCTTGGGGTCGGCAGGCTTTCGGCACTGCTTTTGCCGCTGTATGAGGGAATAGTTAAGTTGGATGGTACAGATGAGTTGCTGTTTTTGCTCGGGTATCGTGATGCTCCTAAAAACGAAGAAAAGGCAGAATAAATATATAAAATCGAATGAAATGAAATCAACAGGTCAAGTACATAATAAGTTAGAAAACTGATATTTTCGGCAAAAGAAGACCAGGAAATGTGAAACTAGATTGTCTTTACTGCTTAATTAGGAATGGTGCTTTATGTAATCTACAAACACTTTCTATGTAATCTGTGCCAGTTATACGTGACATTAAATATGTATGCAACAAGAAATGTTAGACTAAAACCAGTTATAGAATCATTTTCATCCAAACAGACTATGCCTTTTTTTCTTCCTCAGAAGAATATCCAATACGAATAATAGATGCAGATTTAAAGCTCCAATTTTAATGATCAGAAATAGCAATGGACAAATGACGCAAAACATCACTATATTAGGCATCAATCAACACCAGATACACAAATCAGGGTTCTTTTCCAAATGAACATAAAATTAAATTACAGTCCAAAAAAGAGAGATAGAAACAGCATCATCCTTGTAAGCTAAGCCCTCACAAAATCCAACCCAGACGAGGTTTACGCCATGAAATTACAGGGAAATAACAAAGAACAACGCAGAGCTATAGTTGATTAATCCATTCCAGTTCAAATATTCATGAAACAAGAAGCCATAAAATACCAGATGCGGTGCTGAGAGTGGCATCTACTCTTGCTGATGAACCTACGCAATTTCCCATGAATTTCAGCTCCAAACAGAGAGCAAAAACAAAAGGGGGCCTCAGAAACACTCTTCCACAGTCCACAAATATATAGAAATTAAAAAAAAAAAAAAAAAA